ATATCAACTCCTTATAGATCATTTAATGCAGAAATTTAATTTCCTTGGGAGTTTTGAAGTAATAAAAACTATATGTTTTTCTGCTTTCACAATTGAATACATGGTAGATGATACTCAGCTTTTGTGCATATACATATTTATGTGGACATGATTACTAGAAGCAGTGATTTCTTTAAGAAATTTTAGGATATATGGATTAATGTCATGAAAGTGTTCTTTCGTGTTGGTTCATTAATTTTGTTTAGCAGCATATTAATCTCTATGGGTTATTTAATGCCAGAATCTAAATATTTTGAACACGATTTTATGACTTCAAGTAAATATATTTTGAATGCGATTGTATGCCTTCAACTACAGATAAAATGTATTGTTGGTCATTGTACTATAAAATGTATTTTTAGTAATTCTATTATAAATATGTAATGCGGGTAATTTTTTTATATAAATATATATTGCTAATATTTTTACTATAAAAATATAATTTTTATACTTTCATATTGTTCAGTTTTTATTTGGGGGTTAACTATTTGTCCAAAGCTGGGACCCTATTAGGTGCTGCCACCCCAGGTCATGGTGAACCTTTGAACAACAACAATTCAGAGCTAGTTCCACACTTCTCAAAATCTCTAATCTCCTGATCAGAGGCCTTGTTGCTGGATGTTGTTTATTATCATACCCAGGACTAAAAAAAAGTAAAAGAAAATTAAAAGAAAAAAAGTCATTACAAATAAGATAGAATTTATGAAAATCAGTTGGATATTTACATTTTTATTAATTTTCTTGTTAACAAGCATTTTCAAAACAACTGAAGAATAATCAAAGGATACAAATCATTTAAAAACATTTTGGTGAATTTGAAAAATTTTAACAGTTTTAATAATAAAATTAAAATATAATATCTAAAAATAAATATCTGTGAACACATCAATGAGATTTGTATACAAGAAACATTTTAACCTTCATCACTCTGCATTATTAATATTACTTCCTTTTCCACTGCATTCGACTCAGTTGCAGTATCCTTATTCTTAATTTCACTTAAAGTTTTTTTTTGTTGCCATAGCAGGATATGACAACACAACTATGAAATTTAAACAAATTTAAATTCAGAGATCAGAGTCACCTTCAGTGGCAGGATAAACTTTTTGCAAAGCAAATGAAGTCATATACAGAGTGATAAAGGTTAAAATAAAATTCAATATTTTTTCCTTAAATTGTTTTTCAATTGATTTGAAAATGCTTGTACAGAGTGAAACATTAACAAGAAAATAAAGAAATTTAAACATCCAAATGGTTTCCATGTATTATTGAATGTAAAAGACAATGAAAGATAGCATTTTCTTTGATCAACCTTATAAGCCTCCTGATGATGACTGATAGAATGGTTGAAAGTATTAAGACTTTTCCTTCCTTCCAATTCAATTATGGATTCCATCTAATGTAAGGCGCTTCATTCACAAGCAAGAAAAGTTGATTAAAAAACATAACCATCTTTCATTGTCGGTTATATTTAATAATGCATGTCAGTATATAAACAAAATGTGTGTGTGTGTGTGTGCATAAGTTAGTAATTTATTTGGATCAGGAGCCAATGTTCTGTTCAGATGACTCAGTTTTTGAATTTAAAATTTTTCCTGATTTAATGCCCAAACCTTAAAATCATAGGCATCATTTTTACAGAACCATCCCAAGTCATAAACTCATTTTTATTACAGTCCAGCAGAAAACATGTTAATCTTTTCTTCAAAAATGCAATAAAGTTTTGAGGTATTTGTCTTTTTCACCACAATCTCAATGTTTATTAAACATAAAAGTTGCATCTTCGTTTGCACAAACATAAAACAAGACATAATACAGTGAGTAACTAGCTACTGATTCACTTCAATATTTTAACACATTCTTCCTTGTTGTCAGACATCTTTGGCCATTAATTGGTATTCAGCAGTCAACAACCAAAGAATGGTAAAACAATGTGTGTGCATATATGAATTTATACATATCCTGACGCACATGTTACAATCTTTAAAAATATATTATTAGTATACATATTTCAAATTTAAGTTTGTTGCACTATTATGTGCAAAAAATTAATATATAAAATGCCTGAAGATTGCGTTTAAGCATGAAACAAACTGTCAAACTGGGTATTGACTTCAATGTCCATTTTATATTTATATACTTCTATCCCTGATATCGAGCACTTTAATCCATAAATATCACATACCTTAAAACTATATTTTTATTATATAAGAATTAATGGATCTATTTTTAATCTAATATTTTTATTACTTCAAACATTATAGAGGATATCTGCATTGGAAATAGATCCCCCATTTTTATTTTAAATAGTGTATATTACGCCTATCATCTATCAGCTTGCACATTTGAAAAATCATAATGAAGAAAATTACCTGGGTACAAAACTGTGTCCTCCTTTGTAGGAGAAACTTTTTGATTCAGTGTGAAGAGTAAATTTTCTTTTCTTTATTAAGAATTCTCAAAATGTGCAGGCCAATAGATACAATGCACCAAAAACGATGCATATATATCGCCAAATGTAATGAGAATGAAAATAATATAAATTCTAACGTTGGCAGCATTAATTCAAAAGAGGGATCAATACCAAGAGTAGAGCAATAATTTATATATATATATATGTCAGGCAAGTGCCTACCCTGAATAAAATGGGTCAGCAGCTACATTTTTCCTGTGGCAAAATATGTACCTAATCCAACAAAATTATGATGGTCACTCTGATTATTATGCATAAAATGTAAAATATTTTATTTTTTTGTAGATTTACTGCATAAAGGTTACAAGCAGCCTACCCTGAGCAATTACTGACAGCATGTACCTTATAATGGGATCAAATATGAATTGGAATCCAACAAAGATAGGATAAGGAACAAATAGGGAATATTTATTAATCTAATGTTTTGCTTTTATTAAAGCTTCATCAAAGAATGAAATATAGAGGAGAAAAATAAAAATAAACAATATTAATTAAAAATAACAGAATTTTCTTTTTCTCCTCCCTATATCATTCTCTGATGAAGCTTTAATAAAAGCGAAATATGTTAGATTTATAAACATTTCCTATTTGTTCCTCATCCTATAAAACGACTACCAGCTCATTTCCAAGTAAACTTATTTGCTTGGGTAGCTAGCTAATCCTTGTTACAGACATGTGGTCAGGCACACGTGTGCTTCTTCAATACCCACTGAGCCCACCTGTAGTCTGTACTGCAACTTTGCTGAGCAAGCCTTAGTTACAGAGTGCATAATCTGGCATGATCAGGAACTGACTAAGGTCAGTATGCTCAAATTCTCAGTCACAATGTTTTGTAAATTTGCACTAGAACAAACACTGATGTCTTTCCAGATAGTTTTGTTTATACAATTTGCTTACATGGCTTGGGTAAAACTATGGTATTGTTTGCAGGCACTTACCAGTAGTGCTCTTTGCTGGGATTGTCTCCTTGGTTTAATATAACAAAGAAATCCCATTCTTGATGAATTGGGAATGGTGAGATTCAAACCAAGATCTTATGGTCAGAATGCTAATGTTCTCATCACACAGCAACATACATACACAAATGCATGTGCACACACACACACACACACACACACAGAGGAAGCTGTCTATTATAATCACAGAATGTTTTCAAATGGTTACTGCTACAGAAATCAAATGGTGCCAAACGCTTTATTAAAAATGAGCAACAACAACAAAAAAAATGTTTCTATTAATTTTTATAAAAATAAATTCTTTATAAAAATGAATGTAAATTGTTGTAATTTTTATAACCTTTGCTTAATGTTATCAGTCAGTGTTATTTAAAAAGCACAATCCCAAAGTAATCTTCCCAATAAGCAGCTTGTGTGTGTGTAAATATATATATATATATATATATATATATATATATATATGTGTGTGTGTGTGTGTGTGTGTGTGTGTGTGTGTGTGTACATGCATATGCATGCTCTCTCTCTTATGAAAAACTTGTGTTTGCATATGACTTCCCTTTTTATTATTGCACACAAGTATCAGCTGCAAGCAAATACAAATTAGGTAGGTTCACATGACATTAAACATACGTGGACATAATCACTAAATACAGTTAGGTTGTTGTTAATTGGCCCATGAACTTGACCCTTAAAAATCCAATTACAAAACATTACTATGATCATTAGCAAAAAGGAACAGCCCAAGATGTGAGCTACAAATTGGAGAAGTCAAAATAAAGCAAATACACAAATTTAACTATTTCGAATGTGGAATAACAAAAAGTTCTTTCCAGAAACTAAGCACAATATTAAGAAACAGTAAAATTTTGTTGGAAACACAGATAAGAGTGCTCAGCTGTTATGTCATATCCATCATCTTATATTGGCAGTGAGTTGAGATAATTTCCTCAGAGATGAAGAGGAGAGTTAAGGCAATAGAAATGTGGTTCTACAGTAGAATACTGAGAATAACATGTAAGCAACGAGGAAGTTTTAAGGAAAATGGAAAGAAGGCGGCACTTTTGTATAGAATCAGAAAAAGAGAATTGAAATTTCTTGAACATTGAAGACTTCAAGAATCTGATATTCAACAGAACATACTGAAGGCAAGAGAGGCAGAAGGAAACAGCAAATAACCTAAGAAGCTTGTGTAAAAGGATGGCAGAAACATGAACAGTGAGAGGCAGTAAGGGGTCAAACAGTGCTTACTGATTGATCCATTCATTTTCTATGGCTTATCAACACTTTGTAGGTTATTTCAAGCCAGAAAATATTTTTAGATTGAAAGAATTTTTTTTTTTGATATAATAATACTTTAGTGATATAGTTTTTACTTAATTAGCCCATAGGTGGGGGGGAGAAGAGGTGGATTCATACCGTTTCCAAAGGTATTTTTGCATAAGTGAATATAGTGAACCCAATGGGAATTGGAACTCAGCTCACCAACTAACAATTCTGAGCCGTTATCTATCACACTACCTTCATATCCAAGTTTACAACATCTAGTATTCCCATGTGGTAACCCATCTAGGTGTTGATCAGGCTCAACATAGCTTAACTTCAGTGATCATACAGGAACCGGTGTTTCAATGTAGAAACATTGCTTAGTGCTACAAACAATAGGAAGTCATAGAGAGCCATGATTCTCTATGTCCTAAAAGGACAGGGCATAAAAAAAGAAAAAGCTCTTGCTTCAAATGTTAAAAAGTTTTGTTTTGTTTTCTTGTTGCTGTCATCACCTTTTCCTTTTATTTAATTTTTTTTCCAGAGAGATTTATTCAAAATTGTTTCAGAGCCAAAACCCTCAGAATTCACTTCAAAATTCACTGGTTACCATGACAATACTAATAATTTGCACCTACTTATTTGTGATTAACTGCTGCACTATCAACAGTGGTAACAACCCCCCCCCACACCGCAGACTACCTTTTTCCTTTGTAGTCTCCTCCCACCACTTCCACCTGACCATAGAAACAACCGCTTATATTGGTAAGTGCAGTACATTTTTCAGGGAAAAAAAAAACAAACTCTTCTTGCAGCTATCAAAACACTGGCATTGGTAAGCAAATGTGCATTTATGTATAAGTGTAAATGCAACTCTATAAGAAGGAATATGTTAAGTTGGCAAATGCAAGAATGTGTGTACATCCGAGCATGTTTCTCTGCTTTCTCAAGTGTGCATGTATGCATGCATATGTACCTGCTCATGTACGAGTCTATTGGCACATACGAGGTTGGATAAGAAAGAGTCTCTGCATATATGGGAATGAATTTAATTAATGTGTGTATATACGTGTGCTTGTTGAAGTATAATTTTATATGCACACATGCATACATACCCTTGCAGTGTTGATATAGAAGACAACAGAACAACACGTATAATTAACATACAGATTTTCATTTGAAGACTACGCCACTAGATGGAGAAAGGTGTGTAAAGCACATAGGTTTGAACAAGTGTGCATATATACCCAGACAACACGCATACAAATGAACAGGTGCATTAAATAGGTGTGCATTTTTTTAAAAACTACCATGTCCCTTCCAATAGTAATTAAAAATATGTAATTTCTTTATAAAGAGACACAAATTTGATTCAAGATCATCAGGATATTATTTCTTAATTTTTTTAAATATTTTTTTGTTTAGGTCTAAGACAGGCAGGGGAAACCCTTTTTTTAGTAGTGGGCTGCATGATTTTTGGTTCATCACAAGACTGGCTGCACTACTAAAATGATTCAAGGTAATTTATTTATAGTAGGTACCTCAGTTATTTTTACTACTGAAAATCATGTAAGCATATAGTTTAGAAATGGGGTAAATTTTTTTTTTTAGAAAAGATATTTCTATAATTAAAACATTGAAGTCTTCGTATAATTTTATCACAGATGATAGAGTGATTAACACACATAGCTGTGTTCCATTTATTGCTAATTCACCTAAAAAAAAAAAAAAAAAAAAAAATATTTCTTCTCCAGAGAAAAAATTATGAATGTTTATTGTTTCAAAAACAAAAAATGCTTACACGTATTTTCTTCCTTAGTGAAAATCAGCAATGGTTTAAAATGATGGAAACATTAGTTTCACCATAAGTTTACAAAATTCAAGAAATGTATGAGAGTATGTGTGAGTGAACAAGTGAGAATGAAACAAAAACAACATTTTAAGAAACATTACTTTCCTTATGAAATTAAGCGTGCCATTCTGAAAGACCAAATGAGCCACAATTTACCTATGACTGGTCTAAAAGAACATCTACCTGCATCCAATGAAGGTAAATATTTTCCCAATATATGTAGCAATAATTTTGTCATATGTAAAATATTTTCTTCATTATATGGAGGTATAAGTTTCACCTTAAGAACATTGATCTTCTTTGTAAGTGTCATGTCCCTTCAGAATGTAGATGTTCAAGGCTCTCCACAACTTTTCCTTTAATTTCTGTAAACTGTGCATTGCTATGTTCTTGGATAAGGCATTATAGTAGTTTCCCCATTGTCTTCAGAATTGTTCTTCTCTAAAAATGGTTACCAACCAAGTCTAGAGATCCCAGTCTGTGTTGCTATTTAATCCATAGTTGGGAGTGAATATCTCAAAGATATCAATGCAAAGTAAACAAGTTGTCTAAGCTTTAATTTTAATTCTTCTTGCTGATACCATTTTCACCTGTACATTAACAAGCCCATGACTTAGCCAAAAGTGTCCTTATTACTAATGTTCCTTCCACATACAAGACCCACTCAAGGTAGGGGCTTACTGTATGGTGTTGTATGAGCATAAAAAAAACAAGAAATGCAGTTCATTATTTACTCAGAGTACTTACAGTTGATATCTTAGTCTAAGTAAAAGATTATTTTGATGGTAGATATAATATCTTGGTAAATAAATTGGTATTATACAGTCTTACATAAAAAAAGTCATGTATTAAACATTACCAAGTGAACTTAAATCCTCATACTGTTTCAGTATTGGCACTCAATTTAAATAATAATTAATGATGTTAGAGGGCATAAAATGCAAATTCCTGTATGCTATTAGTAAAAATGCATATTTGTACATACTAAAAGATGAAATTTAAAACAACAAAAAAAATGTAATTTTAGATAATCAATATTTACTTAACAAAAAAGTGGCTAAATTTAAAACTTTTATATTCATATGATTTTGTTGAGGATGATATAATTAAACAATAACTAAAGTCCCATAGACTTCACTGAGAAGTATAAGGGAAGAGGGGAATCACAGTTCTCAGCAATCTATGTCTTGCTGCCATTTCCATAGCATTTAGGTTTTTATGAGGTGGAATTTCTATCCCTATACTCAACCAGTTCTGAATTCAGAGTTGTCCTACTAAACTGGTTGCTAACCACAGCTAGAGAGCCCAGTCTGATCTGCTATTTAACCCATAGCTGGGGGAAGGAGAGAAGAGATGAATTCATATCAAGGGTTTATGCACAAAAGTGAATGTAGCAAACACAATTGGAATTCAAACTCAGATCACATGATTACCTGTTCTCTAAGCTGCTAACCATTACACCACCTGTACATCTAATTAATATTAATGAAATCACCAGGTTTTCATATCTAATCAAATAGATTTTGATTTTCATTGTTACTTTCAGCCTTTAGCTTTTTAAATTGTCTGAGGATTAAGGTCTTTCCATCCACTAATACTTATAGAATCAAGATGATCAGTATCATTTCCTCAAATCAATATGTTTACTCACTATATTCACAATTAATAAATTATAACTTATTTTTTACTTTTCTTGATTCAATTAACCAAGTACTATAATTATTTGGGTATAATATACTTTTGTTTTTTTTAATTTATAAGCCTAAAAATCAAGGTTCATATTATCATATGTCCTACCTTATGTGACCAAAAGCTAAGTAATGACTATGGTCCAAACAAAGGACTGTATTTGTTTAAGGAAAGAAAAAGAAAGGAAAGAAAAAGAAAGGAAAGAAAAAGAAAGGAAAGAAAAAGAAAGGAAAGAAAAAGAAAGGAAAGGAAAGGAAAGGAAGGAAAGAATTATTCCCATTCATAATAAACACATTTTAGTCTGAGACTAGAATTTTATAGCTCAAAGTTAAAGAGGTGCATATTATACATGGGTGCTTGTTATCCAGGAATAATTATAGTAAATATGAACTGCCCATGTCAAAGATACATGTCAGGATAGTTTCATCTATGCCATAGTAGATGACTTCATCATCTTTGATGTTGTCATTGTCCACAATCAGCTTGTCTTTCATCCTCAAAGAGGATGTCATCCAGTACATTTGTAATACAGCATTTTTTTTAATGCCCCATCACCACCATAATGATTTCATGAATTCTCTACCAGGATTCCAATATCCATTTTGTAGATAGAACAGAAAGAGAATGCTGCTGGTTTCTCCTAGAGTGCATCTATTTTTGCTGTAAGCTTGCTGCATTTTTGTGTTTGTTGTAAATACTGTGTTAAGTTTTGTGCTTTAAAATATTACATAAATTACATAAATTCTTATTTTTGGTTACTATGAACAAGACAAAAATTTGAACAAAATGTTAAACTTCATATAAATTTCTTCACCTATGTTGTATGTCTCTTCAGGATGTTGGCGATCACAGCTCCTTACAATTTCCTGTCATTTCTAGCTCTTAATAACTTTTCTCTTTTTGCCATCTCTCAAACCATGCACTACGATCCAGTCACTCCAGTTTGTCAAGTAGATCGTGCATTGCTTTCCTTTAGCCCTCTTGCCTTCAATCTATCTTGGGAGTATCAAATTTTCCAATCCCTCTTTATTCATTATGTGCCCTAGAAATTTCAACTTGCTGATGTTAAAAATACCCTTTTTGTTGCCAGTGCATACAATACACAGACTTTTTTTTAAAAAAAAATTTTGTAACTCAAAGTTAGGGGTGCATATTATCCATGAATAATTATGGTAGATATGAACTTTTATCTTGTTCCTCCAGTCACAATAATTGCTAAGCTATTCATTCATTGAAAGATGCCATTAATATATAAATCAGATTACAGGACAGGTGAAAATAATTGAAGATATGTAGGATAAATAACAACTGACTAAAGAATTGAAGAGGTCAATATTGGAGTGAATGGGGAAGTCTCTACTCGGGAGTCCATTCCACAAAATAGCAGTTCTTCGGGAGAAGTTATCTGAATGGAACTTCCTTCTTATTAACAGAATATGAAGAGAATAAAAACTGATTTATCCCAGTGTACATGGCACAGCAGTTATTAGTTGTGAAAGTCTGAACTGGTGGAACTAATGAATGTAAATCGTCAAAATATTTGCCATGAAAATAGCAATAGAGGCTTGCAACATTTTGGCAATAGAAAAAGGGTTGTAGAGTGGAAAATAACTCATCACCTACAGGGTCATGTAGACACTTTTGAACTCTATCAAGGCTGAAAAGTGGGGACTGGGCAGCTCCAGTCCAGACATGGTAAACAGCACTATATTTTTCATCTGATCTGGCTTTTGTCAAGATAGAGCATGACATTCAAAACAAGGTGCCTTCTTGAGAGTACAATTGTTCACCATGATAGGCAAAAATTCAAGGTATGTTCAATGATGAT